CAGCTTGTGGGCTTTCCAGAGGAAAATGGATGCTGGACAACATAGTCCTTTGGTCTGACCCAGCAGGACATCTTATGCTTTCTCTTTGAAAGGAAATTACAGTGGTGCCTCGCAAGACGAAATTAATTCGTTCCGCGAGTGTTTTTGTCTAGCGAATTTTTCGTCTTGCGAAGCACGAAATCCCATAGGAATGCATTGAAATTCAATTAATGCGTTCCTATGGTCAAAAAAAGTCCAAACAAAGCCAAATTTGGTACAAAAAGAGTTTATTAAGTGCTCTTTAAAGTCAGACCCACCACACAGAAATTCAAATCCAGATTTTTTTTAAAAAAAACAGCAGAGTGGCCCAATGGTCACAGAAAATCATAAAAATGCAGAAAAAAACCACACAAGCTTCCAGATTCTTGCAAACCACTCCTCAACTGTTCCCCCCAGCCACCCACCACACAGAAATTCAAATCCAGAAATTTTTTTTACAAACAGCAGAGTGGCCCAATGGTCACAGAAAATCATAAAAATGCAGAAACAAACCACACAAGCTTCCAGATTCTTGCAAACCCCTCCTCAACTGTTCCCCCAGCCACCCACCACACAGAAATTCAAATCCAGAAATTTTTAAAAAAAACAGCAGAGTGGCCCAATGGTCACAGAAAATCATAAAAATGCAGAAACAAACCACACAAGCTTCCAGATTCTTGCAAACCACTCCTCAACTGTTCCCCCAAGCCACCCACCACACAGAAATGCAAATCCAGAATTTTTAAAAAACAGCAGAGTGGCCCAATGGTCATAGAAAATCATAAAAATGCAGAAACAAACCACACAAGCTTCCAGATTCTTGCAAACCACTCCTCAACTGTTCCCCCCAGCCACCCACCACACAGAAATTCAAATCCAGAATTTTTTTAAAAAAACAGCAGAGTGGCCCAATGGTCACAGAAAATCATAAAAATGCAGAAACAAACCACACAAGCTTCCAGATTCTTGCAAACCCCTCCTCAACTGTTCCCCCAGCCACCCACCACACAGAAATTCAAATCCAGAAATTTTTTTAAAAAAAAGCAGAGTGGCCCAATGGTCACAGAAAATCATAAAAATGCAGAAACAAACCACACAAGCTTCCAGATTCTTGCAAACCCCTCCTCAACTGTTCCCCCAGCCACCCACCACACAGAAATTCAAATCCAGATTTTTTTTTAAAAAAACAGCAGAGTGGCCCAATGGTCACAGAAAATCATAAAAATGCAGAAAAAAACCACACAAGCTTCCAGATTCTTGCAAACCCCTCCTCAACTGTTCCCCCAGCCACCCACCACACAGAAATTCAAATCCAGATTTTTTTTAAAAAAACAGCAGAGTGGCCCAATGGTCACAAAAAATCATAAAAATGCAGAAAAAAACCACACAAGCTTCCAGATTCTTGCAAACCCCTCCCCAACACCAAGCCCTTGAATTCCAAACACCCCAACCCAAAATCCAACCCCCCCAAAAAAAAGTTTTAAAAGTTTAACTTACCAAATGGCTGCAAAAGAAGTTTTGGAAAAGCTTCAAAAATCACCAAAGTCTTTAAAAACCTCAAAAAAGGCTACCACACCGCGTTCTATGAGTTGCTCCTCGAAGTCAAGTCGCAACTGTATTAACGGTGTTAAGAAAAGGAAACAAACTCGCCAGACGTTTCGTCTTGCGAAGCAAGCCCATAGGGAAATTCGTCTTGCGAAGCAGCTCAAAAAACGCAAAACCCTTTCGTCTAGCGAGTTTTTCGTCTTGCGAGGCATTCGTCTTGCGGGGCACCACTGTACTGGCATGAATGCTTGCACCTCTCCCTTTCATACTAGAATCCAGTGATGGTGCCCTCACTGTTTTCGTTTTTTGAAGGTAGCAAAATGGCTCTTATTCATTTGCCCCCTCAAGATAAACCTCAGATAATTAAAATGTCACTTCTGAGGCAAAATAAAGGCGGCCGGGGAGGGGGTGGACACACACACGAAAATGTGCTCAGACATGGCTACAGCCTACTTGAAGCTCCTGCCCTCTTTGAAGAACACTCTGACCTGATGTGCAGAAAGGAAGCAAGAAATCCAATAAAATGCCTTTTGACATAATATACATTGTGTGTGTGTGTGTGTGTGTGTGTGTGAGAGAGAGAGAGAGAGAGAGAGAGAGAGAATAGTGACACTAGTACTTGAAAAGCCACTTCACTGAAAAATGAGCCACTGCTTGGGGTGAAAGGGGAACCAATGACCCAGCATGTTACATAATGGTACATAGGAAGCAACCGAACCAGCATATGCCATAATAAGGGGTCATAGGTTTGTTGCATCCAAGCAAGCTGCAAAAGTAACTCACAGCAAACCATTCACAGCCACCAGATAAACAAGGAGCAGCACATTGTTGTGAGGGGCCTCCAGAGAGATATCTGCTGAGGTACCTGCTGAGGGTCTCCTGAACAGTATAATATGTTTATTAGAAGATCACAGTATTAATGTAAAAGAAAATTTATACGAAGTGATAGAGCTTTGCTACGTTGCACCTCTAAAACTGGCAAACATATATCCTGAAGTCAGTAATATCTGTTGGAAATGTAAGAAAGGTGTTGCTGATTTCAGTCTCACACATTCAACTTGCTCAAAAAAACTAACATTGTCTGTGGAAAAGGTTATAGATAAAAGTAAAATAAAACCATTAGCTACTCCATACCTAATAACCCTTTGTATATTATAGTTGGGCATCTTAAATGAGTTTTGAGAAGTCATGAGGAGTCATCCAGAGTTCAGAAACCTCTTAATACCAGCAAAAATAAATACAGATAGCGCTTTGAACAAACAGTAGACGTGCGCATCAGTTCTGTGTGAGGACTGAGTAACAAGGTGTAGCAGGGTGATTCAGGGATCAGCACCCACCTCCCACCCCACCCAAGTTGAAGTGCTATGTCAGTAAGTCAGATCAGGCCACCACAAAGTTTCTAGTCACTATGTCCCCCCACCCCATTTCTATGCTTTTCTATACTGCATCTCCCATATACACTTATACAGTAGTTCTATATTCTGCTAGCTCCATATACCGTACATTGCAAGAAGTGAAGTTGTCCAAAATGTTTCCTGCACACGACTGAAAAGTTCTAGGGGCTTTGTTTGTTAAAACCCAGCAACAGGAATGATTTGAAAGTTAAATACATCATTTAGGTTTTTGGATTTATAACAACAACAAAATAAACAAAAGAGCTGTTTAGACCTCTGCAGGTAACCATCTTAAACAGCCTCCTATTCCAAGGTCTCAGAAATCAGTAAAGGCCTATCAAGGGGCACAACCAAACACCAAAAAGTTTAAACACCACTGCAAAGTTTTAAAAATTGCACAAACAAAAACACACACCACTTGGCCACCTCTTAAATATTTTTAGGTAAGAACGAGACAAATCCCTGCCTCTCCTCTTGCCTCAGGGTTGTGGAGGAAAGTGGTTCCCTTTTACTTACTCTACAAAAAACCTCTGGTCTAATTTGTATGTAATGTGGCAGGCTTAATCCACTTTGGAGGGGTGCCAGTAAATTTCATCCACTTCAGCCAAATGTGGAAAGAAAGTTATAACATTTGTAGGCTTGCCATTATAGTGAACAGGAGAACACAGAGCTTCATTATTATTATTTTTACATAATTGCTTGGAAACTGAAAGACAGGCCCAAGTGGCAAGAGCACATAGTGACTCAGAAGCAGATCAGAATTTTTTAAAATGCAAAGATACAAGGCAAATCTCGAGACTTCCGGGGTGGCGCCATCGGTAATGGCGGACTCCCTCGGATCCGGAGGGACCAGCTCCACGGGAAACAGGTCTTTCCCGCTACGGCGAAGCGGGGACCCTTTCAAAAATCACAGGCGGATGAAGCCTGTGACCATGGGACTCGGCGGGCACCTTTAGCGCCCCCCCAACCCGCAAAGGAACCCACTAACGGGCTCCGGAGTGAAGAGGGGGCGCGGTGCTGAGAGTCAACTGCTTCTTCCGTGGAGCGAAGCCGCACAGCCGTTGCCGGAGAGCGCTGCCTTTTTCCTGGGACAATTTGGCTTTTAAAACAATTACCCGTGAGTACTTAAATTTCGGACAATTGGACTTCAAATAATGATTTGCGAGTAGAAAGGAAAATTGGACTAAGAAATTTACCTCAATTTGGCACTGAAACGGGAAGGTCTAAACAGGAAGTCAGCCTTCCGTTTCTAGTAGATAGATTAAAGCAAAGACATGGCAAACTAGAGTTCAGAAAATCGCCTGTAAAGGATTAACTTTCATCATTTAAAATTGTTGAACCCCCTTCGGAAGCAGGAGAAGAGGGGGGTTTTTTTCCGGACTGTTTAAACCTGCAGAAGAGAGTGTAATGCAAAGTAACTTTCTACCGTCTTGATCCTGGAGCAGGGTGTCAGGACTGACGTTCTTTGGGAAGCTCATTGACCAGAGACAAACGTTTTTGACAGATAGTTAAAAGAAGAGAAACATAGTGATTCCATTGTTCCCCTTCGCATTTTAAAGGAACAAATATTGACAAAATATCTGAAAAAGGAAACTTTGTTGTTAGATCTGCCTTTAAAAGAAAAGAACAAATAGAAGCTCTTCCCCTAGAGGGAGCCTGTGAAACTGTTACCAATTCTGAACCGGGGAGCTTGCAGCTGCAATAGATTACGATCGTGGGAATAGACTTCTGACCTTGCAGAACAATGTACTCAGAAGCTCTGTTGCGTGCTTTCTGTAAAACAAGTGCCCTACTGGAACAGCTACATGAGAAGACGGACTTGATGACTGTTGCGATCAGAAATTTTGGACAGGTAGTGGGAAACTATATAGAGCCCACCCAGGAATCAAATCAGGAGTGTGCTCTGACAGAACAGATGAGGGAAGAGGATGCTGCTGAACCTTGGGCGCCAGAGATGGAGGGAGCGGTGGCCCAGCAGGAACATGAGTTCTTGGATTTGACAAATGAACTTGGAAAAAGCCAGATTTGGAAAGATAAAGTTTGGTTTGGTTTGGAAATGGGGGGTTGGATAGACCCCCCTATGCAGGGATGTTTGGACTTTTCAAGTCTGGCAATGGGCCGTGAGATGTTTGGGGTTGTGGGGGCTCTTAATTCTGGAGGGATTTTGAAACATGTTTTTAAATACCACATGGAGTTTAGTGTGGACTATGGAAAAGGGGCTGATTTGTTGAGAAGGGTCAAAAACACTGTTAAGTTGGAGTTCCCACGAGTGAAAGGAGCAGGAGACAAAGTAAAGTACAGGTATAAATATGAAGAAGAACTGCGGATGGGACATGGAAGGGACTTAAGGGCCTCGGACATAAGATTACCAGGTTAATGCGCTAGATTGATGGGATAGAAAGGACTGACAAAACCCAGGACCAGGAGGAAGAGACGCTGGATGAAGATTGGAAGAAAAAATTTTTTTTTTATTAGGATTGTTTTATAAAATTGATGAACGTTAGAAAAATGTTGGAATGAAATTATTTGGCTTTAGCAAAAATGTTTAAAGAATTATGTAAGAATATTATGGTTAGGAGAAATTGGTATAAATAAAATCTAAGTTTTAAACTTTAAGGTCTTTTATAGTAAGATAAGATTAAAATAGATTAAGGTAATGCAATGACAGAATATTATGAAATATGGAAAGGACTTGCTGTGACAATTAACAACTAGGATACAAAAAAAGGGAGGAGCGAGGAGGTCAATGAAAGAAGGCAATGACAGTTAAGGATTTGAGAATACTGGATTTGTTTTTAAATTTTTGTGGCTTATTTTTACTTTTTGATTGTGCTCTGTTACGTGTTTTGTTGTTATTTTTTTTATTTTGATTTTTATCAATTTGTATTGTTGGATTGTGGTTTGTTTTTCCTTTGTTTTTTCTCTTTCTTTTTATTTTTTGTTTTTTCTGTAATTTTAAAATTCTTAATAAATATCATTTAAAAAAAAAAAGATACAAGGCAAATCTCGAGGCCCTTGCACACCCCCAGCGAAAAGTTTGACGTGCTATAAGGCAGTTTCCCATGTTCCTTTGTGCTAGGTGTGTTGTCTCAATATGAGAGGGGCCCTCAATCATGTGAGCCCCCATCTACAGCCTGGAGAGCCACAGGCCAAAAAGGTGATGAAGGGAAAGGCAACACTGGCACATGAATGAAGAGAAGAGCAAGTCTCAAAGGTGTACTTAAAACAGTTTAATAAAATGATTAAAGCCCAATATGTTTCTCAAGTCAGATGGCTGTTCTTCAGGGGCAGTAAATCAGATTTATTAAGATGGTCCTAATTGTTCTTCCCTACATTTTCAAGAGGAGCAATAATGATAAAGAATAAATGAAAATATAGCAGGCCATTCAAAGCATTTGAAATCCTACAAAGTTTTCAAACACAAGAAAACAACCCCGTATTTTCTCTGTAAACTCTCTGTGAAAACTTAAAATTTCACTGCTCTCTGGAAGCATCAGTTATATCAGCTGGAAAATCCCCCAGAACCGCCTGGAAACCCATTGGATCCATCAGCCTCCAAGGGCAGACCATCTTAACAGATCTCCTGCCTCTGCAGAGGGTAAAAGGTGCTGAAAGCCTAAATCTCATCAGGAAGTGATCTGACCATGACAAGGGATTGATGTCAATATCCTCTTCTCTCTGCCCAGTTGTGAAAACAAGGTCCAGAATATGGCCAGCCACATGCATTGAGCTAATGACATCTTGAAACAGCCCCATGGCAGTCTCCATAGTCATGAGGTACTGCACCACCCCAGAGCCAGTCATCTTGACATGGATGTTGAAGTCCCCCAGAACCAGCACTCTATGAGTCCTTAATACCACCTCTGAGACCAGTTCTGTCAGCTCAGGCAGGGAGACTGCTGGGCAGCAAAGCGGGCGGTAACCAGCCAAATCCCTAATCTGTCCCAACTGACCAATTCCAGAAGCACACTCTAGATTCCTCCTCCAAACTGGACAGAGTCTGGAAAGAGAGATGTTATTTCTATTGACTACAGCAACTCCCCCTCTCTGACTCTCAAGTCTGCCTTGATGCTGCACCAAGCACAGCTGAGTGAGACCAACTCCACTCTGCTCATCCACCCAGGTCTCAATGATACAGACGAAATCAGCCTCCTCATTCATAATCAGACCATGGTTAAGGGAGATCTTACTCAGAGCTGACCTGGCATTCAACAGCAACAGCTGCAGACCTGAGGGCTGGTTAATAGGACAACTGCACTTCCCCAGGTTGGAGGAGGGGCTGGCAATAGGAACAATCACTAATATACATGAAAGAGACCAGATTTAACCATAACCTAATTCCCCAATTTGGTGGTGGGAATCCACATAAAGGGTACTTTTCATGGTAGAATTTACACAAAAGCAAGCCTGCAACCTGCCCTCATGTGAGCCTGAAGACATGGCTTTGTTTAGGATGCTCTGTTAACCCAAGATGCATTGGGATTTGCCTTGGGGAAGCAAAGCATCCGGCCAAAATTGCCTGGGTCATTTTCTGATGAAGAATAGTCAGAACTCCTGATTCTGATGAAGAATAGTCAGAACCAGACCATTTTAGGACACGGAAAGTCTCAGATCTCCAGCCCTTTGAAATGGACCTAGAAAAAATACTCAGCAACTTAAGTTGGTGAAAGAATGGAATGTTGTGCTCTGTTTGTCAAAAGTAGTTTGCCTTTACTGGTTTTCCCTCCCCTCCTTTCTTTTAACAAATTGAGTACAGTATGGTGTGAAGCAGCAGGATATTGGTCATTAATTGCACAGAGGCCCTTGACTGAAAGTTTGCTTAACCATTTTCTTTAAAAAGAAAGAAAAAGAAAGAAAAAAGGCACACTGGAACAAGCAGCCAACATTTTCTGTTATCTCTGCTTTTCCAGCATCTTATCTTTCCTTCAGCAGAACCTCTGTATTAAGGAATGTTGAAATTTCTACAGAAAGATGGCCAGACATCCCAGTGGCAAGAAACACAACTTTCACAGACTGCACTGCTCCCCTCCTGATGAACAGATGTGAGAAGGAGCAAAATGCATGTACAGCACTGCCTTTTGTAATTTGTCTCGCCACTGCATAAGAGGCATGCTCCTACCTTAATAAGCATCTAAGCATACAGCAGACATTTTTAATGGTGGGGTTTCCTTTGTTTTTTTGGAGCCAGCCCAAGAAACCTATGATTTCCAGACAATGCTCTCAGGATTCAGAGGAAACTGGGTACTACATCTGCAATTTGTCATCTTGTCTTGTGCAGAATTATGCTTCAGAACACTAAGCTTTAATTCACAGTTTGGAATCGAAAATCTTACTTTTGTCTGTTGGCCTGTTGCCTGTTCCTAAGTAGAAATTCATGTAATAAGGGGACATGGCTCTTGGATATTATGCAATGTGTGAATGTGGTGTGTGTGTGTGTGTGGGTGTGGGTGTGTGTGTGTGTGGGTGTGAGAGAGAGAGAGAGAGAGAGAGAGAGAGAGAGAAGGATGTGCCCTAATTTGCAGAGGATCGGCCTCCTATGTGAAGGATGTGTCTATTTAAAGGGCTGTCTGATGCAGCTTAAAGATAATGAACCATCAGAAGAAAAAGCAGGAATGGCCTGAAGTTACCCATAAACAGTAAACACTTGGACAGCAAACTGAGCAGACATAAGTCACTTGCTCACAGTTCTTCCTCACTAAGGTGAGATATGTTTCTAATTTGTTGCACATTAGCATATGCACATTTCAAGCCAATATGTGTCATATTTTGTTCTCTTTTCCATGATACATTTACTCTCTTTGGGGGTGGGCAGGGGGCAATAAGCGCAGTGAGTGGGACAGCAAAGAACCAAAGTATGTAAGTGGCAAAAAAATGGCAGATAGAAGGGCTGTTTTTCTGGGAATGAGCCATAAATGGCCTCCTTAAGAGTCTGTGAAGAAAACTCCAATGAAATGTGGCAGCTAACAGGCTATTAACTTTTCAACACATGGTTTAATTCATGTGATCATGTGGTAGGTAATCATGCAGTGGGTAATCATGCGTAAGTTATGCACAGTAAAACTTTGAATCTGAGTTTGCCAAAAGCTATCTACCTGCATTGGCTTGCCATGCCAAAATATCTGTAGAAATAAGTTTTAAGTACCCCTAGGCACTGCAAAACCCTAAGGTCACAGTGTGGCTTGCTTCAGGGCAGATGCTGGATTTCTGCTGACTGGTGAAGCCCTATTCCATCTCGTAAAATTCCAGAAGTCTGATACCTGCCATGCGGGCATGAAATATGAATTGCAGTGAGGCGGGGGAGGGCTGCTTAAAAAAAATGAACTGGAAGTACCGTATATTTTCTGGTCTTCAACAGATTTGTTTCTGGCTTTTCTTTCTTTCTTTCTTTCTTTCTTTCTTTCTTTCTTTCTTTCTTTCTTTCCTGGAGTTAGTGAGAAGGCAAAGTGAGGAGCTGATAAAAGAGGAAACAATTCCTTCCAAAGCGCACTGCAAAAAAATGCTCAGAGCATACATAATGAGGCTACCGAAATGGGAGTTGAGATTTTTCAGAGAAGAATATGAATATTATTAGATTAACAGAGACAAGGTCGAGGGAGGAAATGACGGAGGGTATAAAAATCAAGACCGCCAAACGTACTGAAGGGTTGAAACAGAAATGCAGTGAAGATTCACCTGAGCTGTGTGTGCTGTGGGATGATAGGGAGCCTTCAGAATGAGAACGAAGTAAATATTTTGGCTGATACATCAGAAAGCTTCAGTGATAAGGAACAATGAAGCTAGCCAAGCACTGACAGCCCTCCAGGCCACCTCCAGAAAAACAGAGCAGCAAATGCTAGTCTGATAAGGAAAGAATGCCGGAACTTTGATCATGGAGGATTTTAATTACTGAGATTGCGGTAGTGATTGCAACACCTTTTTTAAAAATTAAAAAAACCCCGCTTTTGTAGATAGTGCAGGATTGCTCTCTAACACAATTTTTGAACAATCTTTATGGTCAAAGGCTATTTGGGAAACTAATCTGGTGAATGAGGCACATGTAATTAATAAAGACGGACACATATAGGATCTGATGATCACAGAGACATTTCAAATACATTTCCTTTCTCTCTCTCTCTCTCTCTCTCCCCCACCCCCTCTTGTAATGTTGAGAGATTTACTGTGAGGAAGCAGTAGAAGGCTCGGAGGACTGTTGAATATTAATTGCAAGCGGCTCAGCTCAACCTCTTAGAGCGGTTTCAAATATTCAGGGAACTGTATGCAACAGCACAGTTGAAATCCAATGTAATTAAGCAGAAAGATAGAAACCAATAAAACAAGTGAATATGATGGATTGGTCCAAAGCAAAGTGGAGCTGCAGCTAGGCAGAGAAGGCCTCCCCCCCCCCCTGCCCGTGAGGTTTAGCAAGAAGGTAAACTAGGGGAAGGGCTGTGGATCAGTGGCAGAGTATCTGCTTTGCATGCAGAGGGTTCCAGTTTAAATCCCTGACATCTCCAGGGAAGGCCGGGAGAGAACTTTGCCAGAAGTCCTGGATAGACACTATCAGTGCAGACAGTACTGAACTAGAAGGACCAATGATATGGCTCAGTATAAGGCAGCTTCCAGTGTACCCAGAAAATTCCTTAAAAGACACAGGGCCTATCTATTATCTATCTATCTATCATCTATCTATCTATCTATCTATCTATCTATCTATCTATCTATCTATCATCTATCTACCATAGGACCAATGCAGAATGCAGTATCTTGCATGAAGGACATAAGAAGAGCCTGCTGGTTCTAGTCCAGCAGCTTGTTCTCATAAAAGCCAACCAGCTGCCTATGGGAAGCCTGCAAGAACAATCTGAGCACATCAGTATTCTCTCCATTGTGATTCCCAGCAAATGGAATTCAGAAGCACACTGCATCTCTCAGCGAAGTCAGGACAGAACCACTGATCCTCATTGCCACTGAATACATGGTCATAATGTGGGAGGGGTATACTTATCTTTTGCTGAATGGGCACGTGGTTTTGAAACACAGAGTGCCTTGGAGACCACCTCATTCAGCCCCTGATTGAGAAAGGAAAGAGCAGCAGAAGGCTGTCCTGACTTTGCTTGAAGACCTCAAGGGCAGGAGAGCCCACCACGCATCCAGGCATATCTCAAAGGGTTGTCACATGGAGGGTGGAGCAAGCTTGTTTTCTCCTGCTGCAGAGGCTAGAACCTGAACCAATGGCTTCAAGTTACAAGAAAGGAGATTCCATCTAAACATCAGGAAGAATGTTCTGACAGTAAGAGCTGTTTGACCCTCAGGAGGTTGTGAACCTTCCTTCCTTGGAGGTCTTTAAGCAGAGGTTGGATGGCCATTTGTCACATATGCCTTGAGATTCCTGCATTGCATGAGGTTGGACTAAATAACCTTGGGGTCCCTTCCAACTGTATAATTCTATTATCCTATGATTCTATATCTCCCCTCCACCATCCTCAGTTTTATCTTCTCCAGGCAGCTTTATCTTCTCCATAGCAATATATGCCCAATTCTTTCAACCTTTGCTCATAGGATTTCTTTAAGAGGCAAGTGACCACCTTAGATAGCCACCTTAGAGGGGGGCATCTGCAGTACAGCTAGGGGAAAAACAGTACAAAGAGTTTGGCTTCACTTGCCAAACCTAGTGCCCAAAAGACAATGCTATCCTTAAAAGGCAGTTTCAAAACATCACACCCACCCAAGGAGGCCACAGATAATCAAGAGCCAAAGGAAGGTCTGATGCAAAAGGCATAACACCTGGCATGCTCTCCTGAGGAGAGCTTTCCACAAGTGGGGAGCCACGGCAGAAAAGGCCAATTCTGCTGTTGCCACTCTCTGGACCTGCCAAGGAAGTGCCACGTGAGGAAGGTCACATGATTGTCAGATGACAATCACAAGGTTGCTGTCATTTCATATGGGGAGAAGCAAATTTGAGGTATTGGTCCCATGAACTGCATAATACTTTATAGGTAAAAACCAGAAGTTTGAATACCTAGTATGCCCCTACTATATTGGGAAAGGACATGGGAGACACAGCTTCAAATCCCTTCTGAACCAGAGAAGATGGTATGGGCCAAACACTGTTGTCCTTTCTACACTAGGAAAATGCTGTTTTATTCTCCTGGGCTTTTAAAAGTGGAGAAGGGCATGGTTTTAAGGCATGGTGACACAGCCAACTTGCTGAAACTAGGCAGGCTTGGAACTAGTCAGATCTTTGATGGGGAACCTCCTCATTTACACCACCTTGAGTTCAAAAAGGAACAAAGTTGCAATGTAATTGTCCTAATATCAAAACCACGGAACTCAAGAGAGAAGACACAAGGATGTGCTAACAAAAGACAAACAAGATGTAAAAACTGTAAGATGCATTTAATTTCCACACTAATAATATGATATTCCTGATAGTTCATTACTATTGCACTGCTAACATTAGCTTGTGCTTAATAGAGAAATGTGAGTTTCAACATGCATTTGGTTTCATTAAACCTGAATGTTAATAGCTTGGGGCACCGAGACCCAGAAAGTACAACTAATTATAGATATGAAAGTGCCTAATTTAATTTTATTGAGGGACAGCACACAGAGTTTTTTTCCCCCTTTCTACATGCAACCTACATCATGGCTGCCTTAATAATCAGAAACCATTGTAATCACATAGTGTTTATCTTCCGAATGCAGTGTATGAAAATTAAAAAGGCACAGGAATGTCCCTTTAGTTAAGTCAAGTAACCAAAAACAAATATATATTGCCTTTAAGCCTCAAAATCCTACAGCTTATTAAAAGCAGTGCCTGTTGAGCTAGTTGCCATTCTGGATCTACCTGTTGTAGCCTGCAAATCTGCCAAGTTTCAAACCAATCCCATGAAAATAGCCATACCTGCAGCAAGTTAAAAAGTGCTGAACATTGAAATGTTGACCATTTTTTTACTCCTTTTTTAAAAAAAACAACACAACACAGGCAAATCATTGTGAGCACCTTTGAGTCTACAAATGCACTGAAATATAAATAAAGTATCATATCCTTGCTCAAAATCAGTATGTTGACCACATGGCCAACATGCACCTTTTCTTTGCATCTCTTAAAAATGTGTGGCACAAGAAGATTATTTTCAAAACTTGCTTTAATGTTTCTGTTGTTGTTGTTGTTTTGTTGTTGTGGAGCATCTTGGATGTTTCCAAACACTCCCTCCTCCCCATCTGGATTTGGGGCTGATGGACCATGGAAAAGTATGGGTGCACAGAAGACAAGTTACAGTGGTACCTTGGGTTAAGTACTTAATTCATTCTGGAGGTCTGTACTTAACCTGAAACCGTTCTTAACCTGAAGCATCACTTTAGCTAATGGGGCCTCCCGCTGCCGCTGTGCTGCCGGAGCACAATTTCTGTTCTTATCCTGAAGCAAAGTTCTTAACCTGAAGCACTATTTCTGGGTTAGCGGAGTGTGTAACCTGAAGCGTATGTAACCCGAGGTACCACTGTATAAGAAATCACCATTTGCGGCACTGAACTGCATCATTAAAGATAATGATTTTGGCTTGGCTCTGTTGTTGTGCCCACACCACACTCCCCATTGCCTCGACCTTCTCACTTTTGGAAACCAAGTAAGCAATGCTGCAACACCTGCAATGTCCCACTAGCAGCTGCTGGAAGATACCTCATACCAAGTCAAACCATTGGCCCATCTAGCTACATGACTCACCTCCTCCTCATTTAATTCCCACAACAGGTAGGTGAGGTTGGTTAAGCTGAGAAGCAGTGGTGAGTCCAAGGTTGCCCAATGAGTTTCATGGCTGAGTGGAGATTTGAACCCTGGTATCTCAGGTTCTACTCCAACACTCTAACCGCACTTGCTCTCACATACTTTATATGCACAATATTCCTTGACTCTCCAACTAGGGGTGTGAAATAAAAATGGTTCACTTCACATTTTAGATGGGCCTCTGGCCTTATCTAGTGAGGCTATTCATATGATTTAGCAGCAATCCTCTTTGGATGGGTTGCAGCTCAGTGGTGGAGCACCTGCTGTGCATACAGGTTCAATCCTCAGCACCTGCAGATAGGGTTGGGAAATAACCCTGCCTTTAATCCTGGAGGGGCGCTGCTAGTCAGTGTAGACAGTATTGAGCTAGATGGACCAATGGTCTGATTTAATATGACACAATTTTCTATGTTCCCAAGTGTGCTGATTCAGCAGGGCTATCGCAGACAAAAGCGCTATGATTGCAGGGGAGCATGTACCAGGAAGTGTGCCATTATCTTTCTCTTCCAGTCAACCTTTGTATCACCCTCTCTCTTTCTCATTTATGAAAAGCTACACCTTTTTATTAAAGGAAGTGATGTTCCATGGCTTCTAATGATCCATACTGGGTATTGCTTCTTCTTCGTACTGCTGCGAATTACAAGACCCCCCCCCTTTAAGGAATATTTTTAAACCTCTTTTTCACCCACTTAAAGTTACATTCTCATGGCTTCATATATTAAGGTTCTCTATAAATATTTGAAAGCTTTTGTGGCATTTACAAAGTGTGACAAAGTTTATGGCCTTTGGAAGAATATAGGTCAATTAAACGTATTCAGCTGTTCAACTTTATGACCTTATCAACTACATTTTCACCTTTCTTTAAATCCTTGTTCGTTTACCACCATGTCTGCTGCAACTATTTTCAGTTATTGAATTGACCTTTGGTTTTACAAACATCCGTATATCAACCATTAAAATGCAATAAAAATTTGTTACTCAGTTCATTGTGGAACTAAGAGACATTGGAAAACAAGCTAGTAGTAACCCTTCCATGCCCAGCACCTGATTGCCATTGTGTACACTCATTCGAAATGTGAGTTATAGGGCAGAGACATCTATTCATCAATCCATGTACATTCTGTCTCATTCCATGCCAAAGAGCTACGATAACTAGTATATCAATCAATCAATCAATCAATCAATCAATCAATTAATACAATAATTAATTTATACAAAAGAAACCTCAGGGTGACTTGACAAGATAAAATACAACAGATAAAAGAAATTTAAAATAACCAACAATCCAAAATACATACCCTGCTCACCCAATAATGTATTAATAAGGACAGGTCCTACCCACCCCACTACAAGATGAGCACCACTATGGGAGGCAAATACCTGATTGAACATTAATGACGTCTCTCCCTGAGAAGAGCATTCCACAGAGAGGGGGACACCACTAGAAGGACCTGTTCTCATGTGGCCACCCTCTGCAACTCCCTTTCTGGGACATGGAGAAGGGCTTGGAATGAAGACCACAGGGACTGGGCAGGTTCATATGGAGAGAGGCGGTCCTTAAGGTGTTGTGGTCCTGAACCACTTAGGATCAAAAGCAACTTCCCTGCCCCCTGCTCCATCTAAATTGATAGTGAGTGCAGTCAGGCCATAATTTGTGTAATAAGTTCAAACCTTCTGATCCCATGTCAATAATCTGGTTGCTGAGCTCTGCACTAGGTGCTATCTTTGAACTGTCCCACATGTAAAGCACTGCAGTAACTAGCAGCAGTGCTACCGTTAGGCAAAATGCTGGGAGATGGTGAGATGTTGGAGGTCACGGCTGCCTGTGCTACCCAGTCTACTGTACATTGCTTACCTAGGCTGATTTTGTCCAATTCAGTGGCAGCCACTGTCCCATAACCAGTGTCAAAGTAAGATTCAGCTTCCAGGCTTGTCCTTTGCCTCAGGCTGCAATATTTCCTGGGGCCAGCCTTGATGATAAGTAACTGTAAGATAAAAACATACACATTAAATGAAGAAAGAAAAACCTTTGCTAAAT